ACTTTACTGTATTTGCTTATTGTTTCTAGTAGTGTTCTTGTGGAGTCTTTAGTCTATACTATATAGAGAATCATGTCATCCGCAGATAGTGACAGTTTGACTTCTTCGTTTCCTATTTGAATGCCTTTTATATCTTTCTCTTGTCTGACTCACTAGGACCTGATTGCACTCACTAGGATCTCCGATGTTATATTGAATAAGAGTGACCATAGTGGACAGCCTTGCTTTGTTCTTGATCTTAGAGGGAAAATTTTTAGTTTTTCACCATGAAGTATAATGTTGGCTGAGGGCTTGTTGCATATTCAGCCCTGAGTTTCATCATTGATAAAATGGGATAATAATTCTATTGAATATTTGGGCAGCTGTGAGAATTAAGGGAAATAATGTAAAATGCCTGGCATAAAATAAAACACAAGTCATGTAAAAGAACAAGAAATATATATATTTGTCTCTGTTCCTGGTTCTTGACACAGAGCTCCAAAAGCTCTTGTAAATAGGGGTGCTAGGAGATCATTTCTTCTGATATTTACTTGTTAATTGCAGTTCCTGACACAGAGATACTAAGGCCTTCATAATTTCTTGCATGATAGGAGCATATGACACCGAGCTCTGTGGAATTTCTTGGGTGATAGGACTATCTTTTGTTCTAATGAGATGACTCTTGGTGGGCTTCTGGTTGGGGACTGGTCACCAGAAAGACCAAACCATAATTAGAAGCTTGGAACTTTCAGCCCTATTCCCCATTCTCTAGAGGGGGAAGAAGGGCTGGAAATGCAGTTAATAATCAAGCATGCATATGTGATAAAGTCTCCATAAAAATCTCAGTAGTGTGAGGTTCATGGAGCTTCCTTCCAGGTTGGTGAACACATCTATACCAGGAGGGTGACATACCCCAACTCCATGGGACAGAAGCTCCTGTACTTGGGACCCTTCCAGACCTCCCCCTATGTACCTCTTCATCTGACTGTCCATCTGTATCCTTTATCATATCCTTTAATAAACTGGTAAACATCAGTTTTTGAGTTTTCTAAGCCATTCTAGCAAATTATTAAACCCAACGAGGAGGTTGTGGGAACCCCAATTTATAGCCAGTTAGTCAGAAGAATAGATGATGACCTGGGACTTGCCATTGGCACCTGAAGGCAGTCTTTTAAGATTGCTCCCTGATCTCATGGAATCTGATGCTAACTCCAGGTATGTGATGTCAGAATTAAAATTGAATTAGAGGACATCCAGTTGGTGTCACAGAAAATTGCTTGCTGTGGGAGAACAACCCACTTGTTTGGTGACCGGAAGTGTCAGATGTGTTCTGTGTGAGTAGTAAAAGAGAAACTCAAGAGTACTTTTTCCTACACAAACCAGTAGATACCATCATCAACATCATTGACAAATAAGAGTTTGTGATAAAATGGAGAAATTGCAGGATTAAAATAAAGACAAGTACATAAGAGGCAGAGGGAAGAGGGTTCTGAGGAGAGGTCATCAGATGAGGGCAATCCTAGAGCCAGAGTCTGTCACTATGACACTTACCTGGAGCTAGGGCAGCTATAGTTGTGAGGTGTGTGTATGTCCATTTGAGTGTGGGAGGTCTTAAATGAGTGTGGCAGCAATACATAAAAAGAATTATATCTCATGACCAAGTGGGATTTATCCCAGGAGTGCATCCAAAATCAATTATTGCAACATAGCACATTAATAGAATAAAGAAAAAACTACATAATTATGTCCAGAGACATACAAAAAGGCATTTGACAAAATAACACACTTTTCATGACAAAAACACTCAACAAACTAGGAATAGAAGGAAACTTCCTCAACCTGATAAAAGCATCTAAGAGAAACCACAGCTAATGTTGTACTTAATGGTTCCAGATTAAATGCTTTCCTTTCGATATTAGGCACAAGATAAGGATGTCTGCTCTTGTCACTTCTACTCAACATTATACTGGAGGTTCTAGTCAGAGCAAGAAAAAGAAATAAAAGGCATTCAGGTCAGAAAGGATGAAATAAAACCATTTCTATTTGCAGGTGACATGATCTTATATGTAGGAAATTCTAAGTAGTCAAAAAAACTATTAGAGATAATAAATAAGTTCAGCAAGATTACAGGGTGCAAGATCAATACACAGAAATCAATTGTACTTATTTATAATAGCAATGAACAATCCAAACATAAAATTAAGAAAATAACTCGATTTATAATAGCATCAGAGAAAATAAAATACTCAGGAATAAATTTAATCAAAGAAGTTTAAGAGCTGTGCACCGAAAACTACAAAATATTGTTGAAAGAAATTAAAGAAGACCTAAATAAATGGAAAGACATCACATATTCATGAATTAGAAGACTTATAATTGTTAATATACCCCCCAAATTCATCTACAAATTCAGTTCAATCTCCACCAAAATCTCAGCTGTCTTCTTTGCACAAATTGGCAAGCTAATCTTAATATTCATATGAAAATTCAATCTTGAAAAGGAAGAACAAAGTTGGAAGATTGATACTTGCTGAATTCAAAACTTAGTATAAAGCTGTAGTAATCAAGACTGTGTGCTATCAGCATAAGGACAGACAAATAGATCAATGAAATAGAACCAGAATCTGGAAATAAACCCTCACATTTACAGCTAATTGATTTTCAACGAGGTGTTAAGACAATTAAATGGGAGAAAGAGCAGAATTTTCAACAAATGATGTTGGAATAACTAAATATACCCCTCAAAAGAAGGAAGTCAAACCCCTACTTCACACCAGATACAAAAGTTAACTCGATGGATCAAGGACATAGATATAAGAGCTAAAACACTATTAGAAGAAAACATGGGGGTAAATCTTCATGACCTTAGATTAGGCAATGGTTTCTTAAAATACAACAACAAAAGCACAAGCACCAAAGAAAACGTAGATCAACTGGGCATCATCAAAATTTAAAAAACTGTGCTTCAAAGGATATCATCAACAAAGTAAAAAGACAACCCGCAGATGTGGAGAAAAACTCTGCAAATCATACTTTGAACCAGGGATTTGTATGTAGAATAGATTAAGAACTCTTACAACTCAACAATAAAAAGATAAATAATCCAATTAAAATGGGCAAAAGAAGATAGCAAAGTGGCTCGGCAGAAGCGTGCTGGGCCCATAAAATGGGTGAAAGATCTGAATAAACATGTTTCTAAAGATAAACAGAAGGCCAATAAGTACGTGAAAAGATTCTTAACATCATTAGTTGTTAGGGAAATGCTTAGGAGATACCACTTCATACCCATTAGGATGGTTACGATAAAAAAGATAGGCAATAACAAGCATGGGAAGGTATAGAGAAACTGGGCCCTCGTACAATGCTGACAGGAGTGTAAAACAGTGCAGCTGCTTTGGAAAACAATCTGGCCCTCAGGGTGCTGGGGCCCCTGAGCAGCCTCAAGTTTGTGCCCCTGGAAGCCTGGCCCCCAGGGTCCGGCGCTTCAGAGCCATCCTCAAGGCCTGCAGAATGGAGCCCTGGCTATTCTGGACATTGTAATCACTGAGTTGCACCAGGCGGTCAAAGTCTTCCTCCTTGTAGGTCGTGCTGAACAGGGAATAGGGTGAGGTGGCCGGATTCAGATCCACCTGGCCGTCCGGGAGCTCTGCAGGGCTGCGCTGGACACCTGCCCAGGGGTGGGAGGGAGTTAGCAGCAAGATCCAGAGGCCTCCACAGCTGGAGCTAAGCCTTGCAGGTGGGCACAGGGGTGGGCTGCTCCCAACTAAAGGGGCTCCTCGCTTCTCTCCCAGCCCTCTGTGTCCTTTGCCCAGAAATATGTGTGGAAGATAGGATACTATTTAGAGATATGAAGAGTTTGCTGCTCCCCGATTCCCTCGTAGGATTATACTTCCTCCACTATTCAGGCAACCTCTATATTACCTTCACGGGTAAAGTGGAAAAAGCCAGAACAACAAAGTTGCTTAGGTTAGTGAACGGATTCTTAAAACTCATATGGCAACAAGAGATTGAAAAACTAAAGGACTTTTGCTTTGCAATGAACCAGTCTTTGCTAAGAGGATTCCAAGATGTGGGCTGAGTGTGCTGCGAGTAAAGCTGGCAGGTTTGGGACTGTGGCAGGAACTAGAAAGCCAGGAATAATGCACAAGGGCAGAAATTGGTTCTCTTTCTTTCCCACCGAAAGGAGAGAAAAGTCTGACCAGTTGGTGAAAGGTGAGGATTGGAAGGAATATGATAAGGCTTTAGATTTCAGGGGTCCCAGATAGAAGCCCAGCTCCCTGAGAAAGGATCCCGGCTTTCTGGATTGGGGGAGGATGATAGAGGCCAACTGAAATCCTAGGTAGGTTTAGGGGACTTTGAGAGAATGGGAACTGGGGCCTCTCTTTCCTGGCTGTCTACCCTGGACAGCCTTTATGAAGTCCTCCAACAACTTAGTGCCTGAGCAGTGGTGGTGATGGCTGCAGAGGGTGACAAAGCAGGAGGTCTCTGGATGCAGGGATTCTCTCACTCTATCCCACAAAACAGGAGAGCAGAGGGGCCCAGGTGTAGCTAGGGGTCAGGGGCAGAGGAGCCTGGGGTCATGACAAAGAGAACAGCCACACGGTGACTTGCAAACAGAGGGCCTCTGCCTGGACATGGGCATCCACGACACATGCCAGGGCACTGCTGTGTCTCAAACTGAGGGAACTAGCCTTGAGACTCTCTCCTCCTCTGCTGGCCACAGGGGCACTGGGGAGGGCCTAAGGCAGTGTGTCTGAGGGGCCTGGCTGCCAGGCGGTTAAGAAGGGAGAGGCTGCCTCACCGGGTGCTGAGTGGTCCTTGAAGGAGACGTTGACCAGTGGGAAGTGCAATAGGACAGGGGCATCCGGGCAGGTGGGGTCTGAGAAGAGGTGGCACTCCTTGGGCTGGCATTGTTCCTGCAGGCTGGGCTCCAAGTCGGGGAAAGGCAGTCCCAGGCCCTGGCAGTACAGCTTGGTCTGTTGCAGCACCTGGAGGGGAAGAAGAACCCAGACCACGCCAGCTACTTCCTGGCCATCTCAGGTCAGTACTCTAGAAAATGCTAGGATGGCTCTAACTCAACTGACTGCTCAGTGTCAAGACAACCTGGTTTCTGTTCATGGCCCATTTAAGCTCAGGAGAGGCAAAGGATGCCAGTGGCTTGCAATGCTATTTGGTTAAAATCTATAGGTGGGTACAGACCTGGCACTCTGCCCCATTTATGATTACTATTGCTGGGTTATTCAAGTCCCAGAGCCTAGAGGGCTTCAGTAGGGGACCTAATTCTTTATCACAGCCTTCTACCCTACGTCCCCCAGAATCTGCAGGGAGGCCCTAGTGGGATGGATGTGGACAGGCCAGGTCTATTCCCTGCACTTGACCAGCTGTTCCTCTTGGGTTGGGCATGGCAAACTTCCTCCCTGTCCACTTGTCCTGGGAGCCCGTCACCCCTCCCTTCCCTTGGGGCCCATAGCCTGGTGGCCCTGCTGCTTGTCCCCAGAGCTCAATCTGGTTGAGCAGAAATTCTGGGGATCTCATGGTGTGATCAGAGGCACCTCAAAAGGCCTCAGGGAATAGTCGAAGGAGAGTATAAGGTCCAGCCTGCGGCATGGCCGGAGCATGGAGGGACAGCTGGTGTTGAGAAAGTGGCCGGCATCCACCAGGCAGAGATGGGGCTCCTGCGGAGTCAGCTGGCCAGGGATGCAGTCTAGCTGGCTGTCTGATGGGGGAGACAGAGATAGTCAGAGGCAGCCACTCCACCATAGATCACCCACGCACCCCATCCCCTTCCCCTTCATACTGCATTCGACTCCACACCCCCTTCTCACCCCTCTGGTGTCACTCCCTGGATACACATGACAACCCTATCCAAGACTCTCCTTATGCCATACCCCAGAAGTGGATACCATGCCTTCCAAGGCCTCTGCCAGTCTCAGCCATAGTCTATCTCCACCCAGGAGCCCAACCTTGTTATCTGGGGACATACGGCAGTGGCCCTTACCTGCCCAGGTAGAGAAATCTTTCTGGTTGCAGTAGTCCTGGTGCAGCTGAAGGCCCTGGAGGAAGTTGGAGCTGTGCTGGTAGAGTGGCCTGTCTGTCAGGAAGCCCTTAAATGCCTGGGCCAGTGCAGTTCCAGGCTGTAGCCACAAGGCCTCCAGCCATGAGGAAGTCTTTGAGGAGGCAGGGGGCTTCTCTGGGCCCAGAGAAACAGACATGGATCCAGTGAGGGGCCTGGAAGTACTTTGCCTTGCCTCCCCCTAACAGCCCCACCACCACCCCTGGCATATAAAGAGGAAGCAGCCTCATCCCAGGCTCACCTTGCTGCCTCCCTTTCCTACCTAGGTTCCTGATCTTGTCCTTGATGTGTTGCTTCCAGGTGTCATCAGAGCTGGTGAGGTCATACCAGGCTTCCAGCAAGTTCAGGGAGAAAATGTTGCTCCAGATACCTGAAGGCCCAACTCTCAGACCTCAGGGCCCCTGCCTTCCACTGCCTGGAAGCCGGTGGCCCCCACCCCTGGGTCCAGGTGGAAACTAAGAAGGGGAGCAGGCTACCTCTGTCATGGTTCTTCCCCAGAGCCCAACTCCCTCCCTCACCGGGGCTTCTGCCAGACTTGAGTACAGGAGTCATGTCATTAGAGACACCTGGCCTGGGACTGGCCAGGGCTTCAGGGTGACCACCTCTCACCTTCTAGAAAGCAGATCCTGGACTCTGGGATCCTCTTCATCAGCCGCCCCATGAAGAACTCGGAGCCAAAGAGCTCAGAAGGGACAAAGGCTCCATACTTCAGGAACCCGACCTCATAAGGGGAGAACTCAACCCACTCTAAGGGGCAGGAGAGAGAGGAAGAAATGAGAGAAGAGTGAGCAGACGGAGCCCCAGCTCTGACGAGGACTGAAGATACTGCCCCCTGCACCCCCTGCAAGCCTCAGCCTCCCCGCTGCCTGGCTGGCTCCTGGCTGGGCTGCCACTCACCCAGCTCCTTGATCACATCCTCCCGGTCCTCCAGTCCCCTTCTCCTACCTTCCCACCCCCAGCCCACATCCAGAACAGTGAGCCTCCACTGTCTGGCATATCAGCCCACGAGAATAGCCACTCTTCCAGCAGTCTGGGCCATCTGTGCAGGAGTTTCCCATTTGAATTCTCTGGAGACCTGCAAGGTGCAGAGGTGTGAGTGTGTGCATGTGTGCATGTGTGCGTGTGTGTATTACATGGTAGAGTGCACAGGACTGAGGAGTATACCCTTGAAGTCGAAAGTCTTCAGGTTGTTCTCTTTGACATTGAGGCTCAAGTAGAGGGGCAGAGGGTTCTGACCCTGCTCCAGTGCAGCTCTCTGTCCTGAAAGCTTCTGATCCATCACCTGTGGTGGGGGCATGAGGGCCTAAGTGAAGCTGAGAGTATCCTGGAGGCAGCAACATTACCAGGACAGGAGTGGGGAAGGGGCACGGGCTGGGGGTGGGGCAGCAGCTCCCCCATTATGATCTGAGTGGCATGGGTGGGTATACACATTCAGTTTCTCCTCCTGCCCTCGATGTTCTAACCAGCCCCATATGCAGATTTGCCACGTCGGGCTATGAAGGTTGTGCACTACAAAGCTCCATAGAGTGCCATTCATAAAGACTGCGATGCTGACAGTGACACCCCATCCCTGCATCTTGTGGTGTCAGTGGCCCCATCTTCATGGGTCGAAGGGTGGATTGGATGTGGACCCTGAAACACAGTCACGAAAGCACTCACACCCACCACACCCTTGCTCATATGCACATGTATTGCTTTCTAGAAAGGACACAGGAATCCCATGTTCGGTATACATCGTAAACTTTGCCAGGGGATGAGCTGCCCTTTCTAGGTTCAACTTAATGCAGTTCAAGTTTCAGCCCCTCCCAAATGCTTTCCTGACATCCTTGCCTCCTCCTCAGTAGCCCCTTCTTTCCTGCTTTGCACAATGTGAAGTTGTATGCCTTTGTTTATTCTTGTCTTCTGTTTCTAATTTTCTCTTCACTAACACTCTAGGCTCTGTCTTCGATGGCAAAGACTGTGGCTTGCTTTTAGGAGAGTTTCCACAGAACCTCACTGAATTCTAGGAGCACAGAAAGGTCTTGTTCTATCCTAGGCCAGAGATGCAAACAGGGTTCATTTCAAGCATCAACAAGGTTAATGGTGGTGACTGCTGGAGCCCCACCTGAGAAGGTCTCTGTCTGTTTCTGACAGAGCAATACATGTACCGTGAACACATGATCCCTCTCTTAGGCTCTCTGAGCTGAAAGGCACCTCCCTCAGCAGCTAGACCTAGGGGATTCCCCTCTGCCATATCGGCTCTTATCCTCAGATTTACTTAAAGAGTGTGTAACAACACAAGATTACTGCATCTCTTCTGAGAATCAGCAGATGGCATCTAGGAATTTGCCTTTTTAAAATCTCCTCAGGTGAGTCTAAGGATCAGCCAGGTGTGTGTCCCAGGATTCTATCCTAGCCTATCCTGCGAAGTCTCCCTCCCACCCATAGCAAATACTCAGCACAGTGGTGTCTTCCCTGTCAACCCTCTGTCTGACACTCGATGAGAGCACACATGTGTCAACCATAGTCATCTTCTCCCCCATTTCTTCAGTGACACGCAATAGGAAATCCGCGGGAAAATCCCCCGATATGGATCGAGCCTCAGGCACTGATGATTTGTCATATCTGCAAGTCAGTCCCGTAGGTGTGAATGTGTGTTTGTGTTGAGAAGGGAGGGGGCTTGATTATTACCAGCAATTTCCCTTCTCTAAGTCTTGTTTGCCTGGTTATGAATATGATGAGAGGATATGTGTTCTTTTACAACAGATGCACAATTTCTGCCCTGGGGAAAGGTTTAGAAAAGGATCAGCAGACCCTTCCATTGACTGAAACTGGATTCCTTTTCCTTTGTAGCAGGCAAGCCTGTGGGGTTGAAGCCCCGCCCCCAGTTGCCAAATGAGGATCCCCAACCTTGCAGAACACCACTCTGATGACTCCATTATTTTTAAATTGGGATTCCTCTGTCCTTTCTAGAAAGCAATACATGTGCATATGAGCAAGGGTGTGGTGGGTGTGAGTGCTTTCGTGACTGTGTTTCAGGGTCCACATCCAATCCACCCTTCGACCCATGAAGATGGGGCCACTGACACCACAAGATGCAGGGATGGGGTGTCACTGTCAGCATCGCAGTCTTTATGTACAAGGTTTCCAGAGTTGAAGAAAAACAACTCTGGAAAAGACAAGAGAAAAACTGCGAGTTTCTCCTTGAGGAATGGTGAGCAGCTTCTAAGCAGTTCAGTGTTTGCCCGCAAATGATTAAAGAAAAAAGTTTCAAAGAGATAGTTTGAGGAGCACTGATTATAACTGCTGTATTTTACATATGGAGTTTTACAGAAACCAAAGCAGCATTATAGAAGTATGTGAACTAATAAAGTTGTTCAGAGTAAAATTTAAGGTATAATATTTTTCTAATAATACTTAACATCAATGAAATTGTGAATTGTTATAGAGTTATATTTTCTGGCATTTTAAAATGACTTTTGGTACTGCAGGTTAGTATAGTACAGAGATACTTATTTTTATTTAAAGACTTAAATTCGAAATCAACACTAAATTTGTTTGAATAAAGAATTATTTTTAAAAGTATATAGTTAATTTTAGCTTTAAGAGATGAAGCATGATAACTGTGGAAAAAGAAACAATATTTGAGAAGTTTTCCTACTGGGACAAATTTTTAAAACCTCATGGGTGCTCATTTTTTAGAATATATTGTTCACATAATAATTTTTATTCTTGTAAACAAAGAAGAACTAATTAAGTTTGTCTTTTAAAAAAATTACTATAAACCTTGTACATAAAATCACGCATTAAGTCATTACTAGGGGATAAAATGGTAATTAAAATCTTCTTTATAGCCTAGGATCAAACTGCATTTTCTAGCACCTCATAAAATGAATTGTTAAGACAATCTTCTCCCAATCTATAGTACATAATTACTGCCACCAGCAGAAAAGTTAGTTAATAACTCACAACACCCTCAAAACTGAACATAAACTTAAACCACAGATCCGAAGAATACATAGGATATATAATAAAATAAAAAGATTTCAAGTAATTATGTGGGTTTTAGATGTGCCATTTCAATGAAAATCCCAACATTTATCATAAAACTTGACTAGTTGATTCCATTATACTTACAGAAAAACAAAGGGCCAAAAGTAGCCAAGATCATTCTAAGAAGAACCAAGGTAGCAGATGGAGGTAAATTTGCCCTGTCAGATACCAAGGCTTATTACAAAAGGTAGAGTAGCCATGCCAGCGCGATACTGGCATAGGGACAGGCAGGCCGCTCTACCAGCACATTCAGCCCCATCAGAATGAAACGGAGAGTTCAGGAAGAGGCCCATGAATATACGAAAGCTGACATATGACAGAAGTATCAACACAGTGGAGGGAAAAAAATCAATGAATGATATTGAGAAAGTTTGCTATCCACATAGAAAAAATAAAACTGGATTCCTAATCATATAATACCTGAAGATAAACTCTGGAAAGATTAAAGGTCTAATTGTGAAAAGCAAATCTTTAAAACTTTTATAAGAATACATAGGAAGATATTTTATAAGTTTAGACAAAGGAAATATTTTTTAAGACCTTAAAAGCATATGTGATAAAGGAAAAAAATAATACATTTGATTATATTAAAATTATGCATCAAAATCTATTAAAACTGTTAAGGATTAACATCCAGAATACATAAAGAATTCCTACAAAATAATATAAAAAGATGAATTAAATAAAAAAAAATGGCAAAGGATTTGAATAGGTAATCCATGGAAGAGGAAGTCCCAATGACAAATATACTTGAAAGTATAATCAGTCTTACTAAAAATCAAGGAAAAGGAAAATTACAATAAAATTTTACACCGATAAAATCAAGGAAAAGGAAAATTACAATTAAAATGTTACACCGATAAAATGAACAAAAATTTAAGTCTGAAGAGCATGTAGAGAAAAGGAATTATGATACACTGATGGTGGGAGTGTGAATTAATACAACCCCTTTGGAGAACGACTGGCCACAGATAGGTAAGTTGAAGGTGTACAAACCCAACATCCTTACAATTCCACTGCTGGGTGTACATTTTCAAGGTGTAGAGAATCTCTAACACATGTGCACAAGGAAATGAATTGTACAAAACCATTTGCATAAATACTGTATTTTTCTTAAGAATACATATTTTTAATAAAGTATACATAAATATAACAAAGCATATAATAAAGGTATGTAAAATGTGACATGTATGTGATCATAAACCTAAATTCAGGGAAAGTTTGCTATCTATGTGGAGTTTCCTATGGCAGTGGGAGGGAAATGGGACTGGGGAGGGATCCACTGGGGGCTTTAACTCTTTCTGTAACATCTCATTTCTTAGGCTGGATGGTGAGATCATAAATATTTATTACATTATTCTTTATGCTTTATGCATTTTCTTAGGTCTAAAGATTATCATAATACTTAATAATAAATATTACGATTTTTATAATAAGTATTTTAAAACAAATACATAAAAATAAGAATGGTTGGTAATTTCTAAGTAGCATTGTGCTTACCAGTAAGAATAAAATTTTTTAAAAAAATTCAAAGCAAATTCATTTTGGTTAGTTTGTTTACATGATATTCATTCTTGGTCAAACTCCTGATACCCAAAGATAAGAAAGATAAGAATCTTTTCTCTAATTTATTTCCACTATAAATTATTTCCTCAAATATAGTTCCACTAATAGATTTGATAGTTTACTTTTCGTTATGCATGTTTAAGATACTTTCTGTGTTTTAGTTGTTTCAAATGACTTAAACTTTGTTCAGGTAATTATATATGGTAAAACAATAGTGTGAAAAAAGTCACTTATCTTAAAATTGTATCAGTTAATGAAAGATTCAGCAGTTAACTTACTAAGCTTTCCCTAAAGAAGCAGTATAAAGAAGCATGTATAAAAACTTACATGCTAAATTTTGTCCTAATGGTATTGGATAATAGTAAAGAAATATAGTTAACACTAATGCTTACTGTATGCCAAGGTACCATTGAGTGTTCACAACAACTCCTTGAGGTAAGTATCATTCTCATTCCCATTGTACAGATGACAAAACTGATAGGCACAGAGAAGTTAAGTGACTTGCCTAAAGACACATATCTAGTAAGAGGCACAGGGATTAGAACCCAGAGAATCTGGCTCCAGAGCCTGTGCTTTTAACACTACCACGAAAATGAAGAAAAATAATATATTTCATAGTGTAGTATAAATTTTTAACAACGTAGTTTGAGAAATCTCACTGATTTAGTGCAAAAGCTTTGTTTGCTTAACTGACTTTGTCATTGACTTGTCCCTAGCTCTTGGGAGACCCAGAAACTTCAGTTTCATGGTAATTAATTGAAGAATAGCCTGACTCAAAAAAGGCAGCATCCCAAACCCAGGCAGACACTTAAACACAGTGGTTCCCACATCCGGGCTCTTTTACCCTGAAGGAAATGCGTACTTGCGTCAGCTAGCTGAGAGGCCACCCCAGCCCCGCCCTTGCACTCACGCTCCACCCCTCAGGCGCAGGCGCAGGCTCCGTACCTGACCGTGCAGCATGGACTCTAGCACCAGAGCCCACAGGTCCACGAAGGTCGTGGGTTGGCCCTGCTCCGCCCGCAGCTCCAGCTCCCTGCGGTAGTTTGCTAGACGCTCTGGGGAGAAGGTCTCCAGCTTGCTCTTGATGAGGTGTTCCCGGGCATATTGAATGGGTCTCTCGAGGTCCCTCTGTGACCACTCAGGGTCCGCATATAGTTGGGCCATTGTCCTGGGAGAACAAAGGGACAATATAGTGGGCTGGGAGGCTCGGTGTGGGTGGCCAAGACTCCTCATCCCCACCCTCATCTTCTCCCAGCGTGTGAGTTCTCCCACCAAAGCCATGCCTGTCTGGACAGTGTCTCAGGGCTTTCTCTCCTAGGTGAGCACTATCCGACATAAATATAGTACGAGCCACATATATAATTTAAAATTTCCTAATAACCACACTTAAAAATGTAAAAAGATCAGTAAAAATTAAGTTTAACAATATATTTAATTTAATATATCCCCAAGTCATTATTTCAACATGTAATCAATATAAAAATTAACATCGTTTATATATTTTTCAAACTCTTCAAAATTCACTGTGTATTTTACATTTTTATAAAACATCTAAATTTGGACTAGCCAAATTTTGAGTGGCCAATAACCACATGTGACTAGCAGCTACTGTATTGTGCAGCACAGCTCTGGACCCTGCTCACATCTTCACAGGTCTGTCCCGAAGCCCCTTTGAGACTGCTTGTTAACAGCTGTCACCTAAACTCCTGAGTTTACTCCTATTTTACTCTTTTAAAAAGTCATATTTCAATAAGACTCAAGAGAATGAATCTCCAACAGTGAAAAGTCCCACCTTATTATAGGCAGGGTGGAGCGTAGGGAGACGATATTGTCTTTAGGTAAAATAGCATCTCTTGACCTCAATTTCCTCATCTATACAATAGGGACAATAATAGAAACTACCCTAGAGAGTACTGTGAGGATTAAATGAGGTCATATCAAAGAAAAAAGAGCTACCAATTTGGACTTCCCGGCATATTTCAGATACGTTAAGTGTTTAACTTGGCCTGTCCCACTCCAGTCCAATGGAGGATGTGCTATTATTACCCTCATTTTGGAGATGAGTCAACTGAGAATCAGAGGAAATAAATTGGTCAAGGTCACCCGGTCAGAAAGTGGCGTTGTGGAGACTCAAACCCAGCTCCTTCTGACTCAGCTGCCTCTTCAGTAGCATGGAGTGGACATTCTGTAATGCCTCACTCATGTCTGTTTCTTCCCTTTCGAGAAAGCCACTGGCACCCATCAGACCATAGTGCTCATGCCCACTTGGCTTCCCCATGTAGAGGGTCCCTCTGATGTCCACTCCACTCGCCGCTGCTTGTCCAGTCCCCAGGGCCCTCACCATGTAGCTCCCGAGATGCCACTGAAATAGGTCACGCAGTCCAGGAGTCCCAGCTTTTTCAGGGCCAACAGATGGCCGTAGAGAGAAGTCATGGCCCGGGCACCTCCACCTGTGGCCATGATGCCCACAACGGGGACCTGGACAGCACAAAGACACAGGCTGGCTTCACAAGGACCAGGATAGAGCTGCCTCCTGCCTCCAGAGAAAGGCCTGATGAGTCAGAGTTAGAGCTAGCACCCAGGCCCTCCCCAGGAAGTGATAGTTCTCAGACCTGGACAGAGATCCAAAGGGAGCGAGAACCCCAGAGCTTACCTATGCCCCATTATCTACCCCCGCCCCAACATGCTTACTCCCCATTCTCTGCAGACTGGTGTATCTAGAGAGGATATAGGAATCAGGTACTCCCTTAAGGCCAGTCCAGGGTATTTGCACCCAAATCTCCTTGTATCCCCCAGACCTCGTCCTCCTGCAGGTCTCCGTCCAGCTGCAGGGCCTGCTTCAGGGCCTTGGCCACCACCTGCTTCCTCCTGCTCAGGAAGGCCTGCTCCTCCGCACACAGATCAAAGCCCAGGCGAACAGCCAGCTCCTTCTGGCTGGGGTGGTGGAGGATCCAAGGGTCAGGGGGCACCTGCCGATCTCAGCCACTGGCTGGTCAAGCCCACAATAGCTGCCAAATAACTTCTTTGCTCCCAACCTCAAGGACTACTCTTTCTATAGCATTCTCTTGCCCCATGACCACCCCTCACTGTCCCCCACAGATATGAATGTCCCTTACCAGCCCTCAGCCTTGAGCTGTAGCCTCACTCCTGGGGCCTGAAATCAAAGCAAGAGACTTCACTCAGAATGAGGCGAATGTGGACATCCCCTGGGAACCTCGAGCTCCCCAATCTTTTTTTCACTGGTGCTTCTTATCCAGTTGAGGCCACTCACATTCGTAGCAGGAACATCAAGGGTCATCTCCTTCCCCACGACCAAGGACTTCAGGGGCACAGTGAGGTGCCCAGCTGAGCTATCTGAGTTCCAGTCATTGCTTTTGGAGCTCTGGAGAGAAACATTCATTCATTCATCCATTCAGCAAATCTTTTCTGAGTATCTAGACAACGATCCAGACAGACACAGTACCTCCCTGATAATACAAAAATAATCTCAATATTTAAATGATTAAAATTATAATAATTATAATACTAATCATTACAAAATAATAGCTAATATTTATTTAGTGTAATAATAGCTAATATTTATTTATTATTCTAACCGAATCGTGTGTATGAATTTATAAAGAATTTATAAAGAAACAGGTAATGAACTGATGTTAGTAAGTGTTGTAAAGGAAATAAGCAGTGTAATGAGATAGAATAACCAGAGGTGGGGTGTATGGGATCCATTTAAGATGGGGGGTCAAGGGGAGTCCCTCTGAAGAGATGCCACTGAGCTGAGATCTTTAACAGGAGGAGGAAGACAAGGAGGCAGCCTCGGAAGGAGCCAGAGAAGGGCAGGGAAAGAACTTGGCATGCTGGAAAAGCAAGAAGAGACGAGTATAACTGGAGCATCACAAGGCAGAGCCTGGACCAAAATGAGGCAGCAGAGGTGGACAGGGCCCAGGCTGTGCAGGGCCTGTGGGCACAGACATGGGATTTTATTCTAAGAGCATCACTGGAGGAGCCATTAAAGGGTTCAGACAAAGATAGACATGGTGTCGCAGTCCCTCATTCCCACCCCAGGCCCTGGTGATCCTCTCTGTCTGCCGAGGGCATGGTGTCTAACTGGAGGAGGCTGACAAGGCCACGGGAACCTGGCCTTGGCAGGGGGAAGGCCAGGGAGGGGCCTGCAGCAGCTGGAGCCGGCCCCAGGCTGGGGTTGGTGGGAGAGCTCCAGAGCCAAGACTCACCCTCAGATGCCCACTCAGCTCTGCCTCTTGAGCCTCCATGTAGTGAAAGCGGAAGGCAGAGGCTGCGCTCAGGGCAGATGTCTGTGTGTCCTCATATGACCCCTTTAGCACCAGCTCCAACTCCAGCTCCAGCTTGTCCTGATCTAAGGAGAGAGTGGGCATGAGGGGAACAAGAGCCCCAGGAAGGACCTGAAAAACCGAAAGTACTTCCAGGACATGGTCAAGGCCTAAGTGGCTGGACCATGGCAAACAGGATTCTGGAAAGGGCCTTCCACAGCCTGCCCCCCAACCCTGTGACATGCCCTCCCCCAGGTCAGGGGGATCCACCTGCCCAGAGGAGACCTGTGGCCCTTGTGCTGTGTGGACAAGAAGGAAGAGGCAAACTCTGCCCTGCTGTTCACCTCTTGGTGGGCTTCCCAGACACCCCTGTCCATCCCCACATTCCAGGCAAAGGCCAGACCTGGTTCTGAGCAGGTCTCACTTGCTACCACGGCTGTGCTCCCCGTGCTCTCCAGACGGACATCTAGGCATGACAGCTCCCGCGCCTGGGGCAGACCACATCATGGGCAGGGGGCTCTGCTGGCTAAGCTGAGGTCCCTTCAGCCTCACCCATCGAGCCCCGCTGTCCCAAATCCACCACACATAGAACAAAAAGTAGGGTCCAGAGTGGGACTGGATGAAGAAACCCCTCACCCCACCTCTGATCCGCTGTAACTGCTAAGCCAGATGCCCTGGAACAGCCAAGAAAGCCCCCATCTCTACCCACTCCAAGCTGTCCTACATTCACCAAACTTCTGGACTCTCTGAAGGCCCCCCAGCTCTCAGGCACAGTTCTTTCTTCTCTCTTTCTCTACAGCCTCAACCTGGAGGATGCATTCTACTGCAACTGCTCCCAAAGAGTATTATATAACCCAGTGGTTCCCAACCTTTTTGGCACCAGGGACCAGTGCTCCTATGAGAATCTAATGCCTGATGATCTGAGGTGGAGCTGAGGTGGCGATGCTAGCGCTGGAGAGCGGCTGCAAATACAGATGAAAGCTTTGCTCGCTCACTCGCCGCTCACCTCCTGCCGTGCGGCCTGGTTCCTAACAGGCCACGTACTGGTACCGTGCTCAGCCGCGGGGGTTGGAGATCCCTGATGTAAACCACTGGTCTACAGGATGATGTACTGGATCAGAGAAACCTTTAAAATTTTAGCAACCAGAGTATCTCCTGATTGTCCTCCAATTAACCGATTTGCCAAATGAGCCTGCTGCATTCGCTCTGTAATGCATGCCAGCTGATGCCTGCAGCCCAATGAACTCTTGCTTCTAAGCCTTTTCCAGTAGAACTGCTGAGTCCATCGACGTACCACTGGTATCCATCGCCTCAGAGGAGAGGCAGCAGCCACAGGTATGGCTATCTTAATGTATACAGGCATGCCTCGGAGATATTGTGGGTTCAGTTTCAGGCCACCACAATAAAGTGAGTATCGCAAGAAAGGGAGTTGTAATCTTTTTTGCTGGTGGAATGTCTTGCCTTCGATTTGTAAAAAATGCAGCACCAGTGAAGTGCAGTAGAGCAAAGCACAGTAAAACAAGGTATGAATGTATTTGAAAAACTAATACTAAAAAAACAAAACAAAACAAAACAAAAAACAACTAATACTAGCCCTTGAAATAGGCATTTGCAGGATCCTGAGGTGGTGCCTTGTTCAATTAGGGGCTCTAGGTGCTTTACCTCACTCTAGGCCCGCCCGGCTCTGCTCCCAGGCCAGCTTCTGGTCAGAGACCACACTTTGAATAGAAAGTTTTTAATGCAGGTTTCACCACCTTGTGCCCATTCCAGTCTACTGCAGCTTCGGGAGCTTGCTGTGTTTTAGGAGAGCTGACCAGGACGCTCCACTATGTCAAGGAAGAGCTGACTGATCCCCTGAACCCATCCCAAAACCTCCGTATTGATAGCACACCAGCCTGGAAACTCTCTCCAAGCCTCAGTCACCTCGATATTGACAACCTGAGCTTGCCCTGGCCTGCGTGACTTCTTCACCAGGACTTCCTCTTCAAGGGCCGGGAACTATTAGTGCATCACAGGTGACTAAACGCATCAGAAAGCACCTCCAGTTCCCCCAATACTCCCTCAACCATAGAGCCTTGGGCTAAAACCTCCCCTCAGCAGTGCCTCAACCTCCCCTCTCTCCATGTTCTCTTTAGCCTCAGACCCCTCCAAGCCCCCAGCCCCTGACCTTAGCCCCAGGTGACCACCTAGCTGAGAGTCCAGAGTGGTTTTACCACAAAGCCCTGTCTTTGCTTTGTCTGTTCCAGCCCACACTTGGGGCAGCTGCCCTGCCCTGCCCTATCCCCACCGCAGTGTCCATTCTGGGGCCCATGCCTCAGCTCCCCTTCCCGAGCCTGGTTACCACAAGGACGTTGTTGGTGATGAGGTTTTCTGGGCGGTCTGACCTGGAAAAATCAAACCATCCAGAGTATAGCCTCGCAAAGGCAAAAGCTCCCTGGGCTCACCTGCCCGGCTCAGAGCCGAGGTTCCACCCATGTGGGGCCTCCCTGGGTGATCCCAAGGGTCTCAAAGTCCTGTTCAGGGTGCGGGGAGAAGCTTCTCAAGAGTGAAAGGTGAAGAGAGAGAGGAAGGCAGAGAAAACTTTGACCTCCCTCTCCTCATTTCTCCACGAAGATTCCCACCATCCAGACTAGCAGAAGCGGGGAGGTAAGAGACGGAATCTCAGCTGGACAGATCAACGGGAAGATCTGGGTCACTGACATTTTCCTGAATAAAGCCTGGGTCTTGAGATACTCACGTATCTTGAGATACCCTGGGATATTACTCACGTTTTTTCCATAAGGAACTCCACGTCCAGTTCCTCCTGTCTCTGGAATTAAAGAAGATGAGCAAGTTGTCAACATTTATATACGTCTTCAGAGTTGACACCATTCTTTTACATTGATTATTTCATCATCTCAAATCTCTAAGGGAGATCTTACAATTCTTCCCATTTTACAGATGAGGAAATTGAGGCTTAGGGACAGATGGGCTACCAGCCCAAGTTGCCACAGCTAGTAAGTGCAGAGAACAGGTCTCTGGCAAGACTGAGGGGGGTAACAAGGAGCGCAAGCCAAAGGAGGCTTGAGAATGCCCAGAGCCCATTTCATCTTCCTCTTGAGTGGGATCTGACTCCACAACTGTGCCTTCCCCCACCCTGGCCTTCACCTGCTGGAGAAAGAGCACAGAGACCTTCATAAAGCAGGCCTTGGGCACATGGGACATCATGAGCAGGAGTGATAGAGCCACAAATGCTGAAAGGATTAGTTACACTGAGCTGTGTTTTGAGGCACATTAGGAAGTTCTCCACCACCTAACCCCTCCCTCCACACACACACACACACACACACACACACACAATCAGTGCTCTCCATAGTCTAATTTTCTTCGTTGAAAATTAGACTATGGAGAGCACTGATTGGCCACCTTGTTGTAAGAGTCCGCCATTGAATGATTCAGTCTGTTACAGTCAAATTAAGCCTTCTCCTTTCCTATTAGAATGTAAATATCTCTGGGAGGGGTTTGCCTCTTCCTGTGAATGAGTTCAGCCCAGTAGCATCCCAACAGAGGGGAGAAACTGTGCAACTTCCTCAGCCTGGAGCCCCACGGTGACTCTCCACACACCTGGGGACGCAGGGAGAAGGTCTTCCGGAGAAGTTTGCCAGGCAGGACTTCTGAGATGTCATAGAGAAACTGGAAGCAGACATCATCCTCCGTGACTGAGTCCTCATCATAGACGCTCAGCTCCAGAACATTCTAGGGACCCAAGAACAACAACTTAGTGCATTATTTACTCACAGCTGTAGCCCACACCTGTTGAACGCTTTCTTAATGGTCAGAGCCAGAAAAGATTATGATGCCTCCATACTTTGTACTTCAAAATAAAAATAATGGTAAAACTTAAAAGCAGTAAAAGGAAGCTCAGCAAATTTCCTAATTCCCCCCTGCTAATTTTTTTTATAAAAAATAAAATTATTTCCAGGAATTCTCTCCCCCAATCCCACACCCCAGATTTGCTGGTGTCATATGCACCAGGCACTGCACTGGGAGTGCGTTATCTCATTTAACCTCACCACAACCCAGACCAGGAGGGGATTCTTACTGTTTCCATTTTATAGTTGGGCTTAGAGAGGACCAGCCCCTTGCTGGAGGTCTGGCCCACAGGCAGCTGGTGAGTTCACACATTCTCTCACACATGGCATATCCAAGCTGGGGCACAAAGACACCCCATCCCAGTTTCTCTGACAAAGCCGTGGAGAAAGGTGTGCTCCACCCCCAAGAACCCTTCCTATGCAGGGTACAGCCTGTCCTCAGGTGGGTGGTCTGATCTTTACCTTGACCTGACTCTGGATTAGGAAACTGAAGGTCTCATTCCATACAGGATTACTGGAGTCGGTGACAGTTTTTGTCTTAAACTTCATTCCAGGTGCAGTTGACAGCTGTAGGACCACGTAAGGGTCTGCCTCGCTCACTGCCAATATCCAGGGAACCATGGTGAAAGAGAATTCCTCACACCCTTCTCCAGGAGCCTTGCTAGGTTCCTACCAACCGTCCCTCCTGCCCCCGCCCCCACCCCTGCCCTGCAGCTACAGTGGGCTGCTCAACCCAGCCCCGAGGCACATATCTGGGCCTTTCCCATTGGATTCAGTCACCCTTGCAGCTGTGGAGCCCAGGAGACAGTTACTCACACATGTCAGCCCAGCCCAGTCCACGAGCCTCCAGCACCCTCACCGTGAGCCGCCAGCAGACAGAGGCCACCCCCTAGAGAGAGATAGCAGATGACCAAGTCCCTCCTGCTCAACCATGAGCCCCACCAATCTGTGCCCAGGTTTCACCTGAGATGCTTGGTGATGCTGCCAGGTGTTCTGGAACCAAACAGCCTTTGACTACCACTGTCCTTGGGGCCATGGTCCTGGGCTAGAGCAGTCAGGGAATGGCAGACTACCTGGGGGGTGGAATTTATGGGACTCTCCTCTCCTCAGGGACATCGTTGAATAGAGTAGTGGGGAAAGTAGGCAACTGAGGACCAAGGGATGGCCACCATACTGGACATGTCAGTTTGGGGTCAGCCACCCCCAGAGCTCCTAGGGAGGACAGCCCCTTGGTAAAGCATGTGATTCTGCTGCCTAGGGTGCCCCCAGTCCTCTAGACAGGAAGTAGACACATGACTCCAGGGGGGCTGAGCCTTGGGGAGCCCAGAGGTGTGATAGCCACAGGTACTCATCTGCTCTTGGGTGGAAATTAAGAAACTCCAAGAGCATTGAGCTGTTACTGTGAATGGTGGGTGAAAGGTCTTGTGTATTAATGGCTGGCGAGGTCATGTCAGCCCATGGACAATCCCAATGAGGAAGAAGAAGAAATTGAGTGAGAAGAAGCTGGGAGGGACAGAGAAGATGAGCAGAAGAAGGTGGCAGGAGGAAAAGCAGAGGGCAGGTAGGGCATAGCCAAGTCCTGCTGAGGACAGGGCACTAGGGGAGTATCCCCAAACCTCCCACTTGCTGAGGTGCTTGGCATTGCTAGGATCCAGGGGGCCCCTTGGGTTTCTGTTTTCCCGAGGCCTGGCTGTGTAGCTTTTTCTGGGCACGCTGCACAAGTTTCTTATAATAAGCCCCTATGATCTGTGGCCGAGGCAGCATCACGCCTGTGAGGTAGACATTTGTCATAGCATGGTTGGGGGACAATACGGTGAGGGAACCGAAGCTGCTTCCTGCCTTGCAACTTTCCACAGCCTGTCCCATTTTGGTGCTTGTAATCAGGAAGTCTCTTCTCCTGCCAGGAACAGATTTCTGCTCTTCACAGGTGCTGCCTGCTAGGGTCTGGTTCAGTGTCCACGGGACGTGGCTCTGCACTCTCCACAGAGAGACTTACAGGACAATGGGGCCCAGCAAAGCCACTCGGGACTTGTGCTCCTACCCCTACTCTTCTCCCCTAGGCCCCCGCATCATCCCTCTCCTGTGGCTCCATGCTCAGTGTCCTTGTCACTCCTGTCAGCTTTGTGGCAGAGCACATGTAATCCTCCCATCGAGGCAGACTTGTTTCTCTCCCTTCTTCAGAATTAACTCCAGTGACACCAGCAACACTTCAACTCTATATGCCTTAAACCAGAGGTTGTCATTGGCAGGGATTTACAGAATTCTTAGACGCCTGGCTCCATCTACTGCCCGCACTCACGTTCCATCACCACCTGTCACAGAGAGAGTGCTGGCTGGCGTCCTGAGACCCTGCTGGGGGTTGTAGTTGTATTTCAAGGCTCACTAGAAGACAGGAGGAGGGCAGAGGCTGTGCAGGCTCCTCCCATCCTCAGTGCGACTGCCTCGAAGCTGCTATCAAACCACTTGGGGCTATGAAGAAGTGCCCTCAATTGCTCCCTTGTTAACCAGTCACACTGCCCAATTTGAGTGTCATTGCCCATTTCTCCCTCCAGTCACTGAGAGCCTCTCCACCTCAGAAAGCCCTGCGACCCCTGGCAGGATATTTTTCCTAGGGTGAAACGCCATTTCTCTTCACTTCTAGACTATCACTGACACAGAGCACCCAGAGGGTGGGCTCTGACAATAAGTACAACAACTGACAGTCACTGGGGGCAGTAGAGCAGAGTGGTTATGGGCAGGCTATCAGCCAGGTTGTCTGGGTCCAAACCCTGGTCCTCTGCTCACTTGCCATGTGACCCTGGACAAGTCACTAAACTTCTGGGTGCCTCTGTCTCCTCATATGTAGTGGGGTTAATAACAGTATCGACTTCACACAGTGTTCCAAAGCTAAATGTGTTAATACTATTAGAATGTTTAGCAAAAAAGCAAACAGCTTCTAGTAATTGCTCTTATTACTATTTATTAAGTGCTCTTTATGTTCTAGGCACTATACTAAGCATATTACATATATGAACTTGATTTATCCTCCCAACAACCTCATAAGATAGTACTCTCATTTCCTCTCATTTTATAGATGAAGGACTCAAGGCTCAGACATGCTACCATGCCCTAGGTCTCAGAGTTAGTCGGTGACCTTTTTAAGATTCAAACCCAAGTCTTCAAGGCCACAGTTCACAACCCCTGTGCTACGCTACCTTCCCAGGACTTTGCTTCTTTGTAAAAGCATGCAACTTTCCCACACCGCCCTATGGATATCTAGAAACTAGAATTTCATAGATTCGTTTTAGCCGAATATGATTATTGAACCAACATATTAACTAATAGGATTCTCTTCTCCTGAGGGTATTGGGACTTTATCTTCCCTTTTGAAAGATCATCCCGCCTGAAATACTGCCTCGATTGATGATTGGCCCTGAACATTCATGGACAGCTCCTCCAGCAGGGACCCCAGCCCACCTTCCTATAGGATCATGGGAGAGACCCAGCCACTGTCTCTCCCCTGTGCAGGGACCCTAGAACCTATTCTACCCTCCTCCCCATGGAGAGGATCATGGTAGATGTGGCCCGAGGGAGCTTGAAGGGGCTGAAGTCCCCAGACCAGGGTCCAGAGTATCTGTGACCATGGAGTCTTCAGTAGAAAGAGAAAAATGAGCAGGCCACCTTTCCCTCTGCTGGCACTGAGTGACCATGGTGAGGCAATGAGGAGGTTGGAGAGAGAAGGAGTGGAAGTTGTGGCACAGCCTTGGGCCCTGTACTTCCTGAGTCAGGCTGAGTACAGCAGGCACGTCTCAGAGTCAGTCCTCTAAGCCTGGCCTGTCCTGCCAGCCAAGTTCCTGCTGCCAGAACAGGCTCCGGTTTTCTATTGGAGCAGGAAAGAGCCTGGGTGAGGCCACTGCTAAAGTTCCCTTGCCCCAGGATCTGACATGAAGGCTCGGTGTCAAAGGCTCAGTCTCAGGGACTCAGCCAGCTGTAGGAACATCAGCAGGAGGTGAGGTGCTTCCCAGGTGTGAGGGCAGGCTCGGGCTCTCAGGGTCACTAAACTTTGGGCTTTAGTTTTGCCCCTGAGCTGGGCAAAAGGTAGAAGCAGGCAGAGGGTGGGAGAAGAAGAATGCCCAGCCTTCTCCAGGGAGATGAGGATGAAAGGCTCAGAAACCTCCTAGTTGGATTCTGGGGCTCAGGCTCCTGACAAAGGAGCAGATGGATCCAGGGCTGTCCAGCACCTCCACCGCCCTGCTCCTACAGCTTCGGGTTCCTCACAGACCCCCATAGGGGTATTTACACCGACGTCTGCCTTGCAGAGTGTTCTCCAGACCTCAGGCTGACACAGACTGGGGCAGCAGGTATTATCCGGCAATCGAGGGTTCCCTCTCTATCTTCCTCAGGATACCCTGGTGTCTGGCCTGCCCCAGGAAAGTCTTCTCCAGGAGCACCAGTCTGGAGCAGCGTGCCTGGACCCAACTCAGGCCTGGGTCTCAAGGCCAAGGCTCCAGAAGCCTGGTAAGGTGCAAATGAGGTTATGCCTCAGGATGACGAGCTTGGTACACTCAGCTTTTTCATGGCTGATAGGGGCACCAGGGAAGACCTGAGGAGCCATTCTCTCTGGCCTTGGTCCTTGGCAGAGAATGAAAAGTCTGGGCTGTGGGGAAGCCCATGGCAGAGGTGAGGTAAGCAGTTTGTAGGCTTCCTTGGCCTGGTTGCAGCCTCATGGCTCTTGGGCCCAGTAAATAATTGACAGTAGATGCGGATTTGGGCTGGCAGAGCTGCTGAGACACACATGGTGGTCCCTGGGCTCCAGCCAGTTCCAGGAAGTCCACTGCCTGCAGTGGTAGGCTGCAGGCCTGGTAGAACTCCTGGGACACACAGCCATTGTGTTCCTTTAATGAGAGGGGAAGGGGCTGTAAAGGGGACTGTGGGCTGGTCACTCATGGTGGAGAGGGGAGGCTCTGGTCTCCTGGACCCTTGTTATTATGAATGCTGATCATCTACTCCACCCACTCCCCATCCCCAAGCACAGACTCCCTCATCCTCTGCCTCCCACCCTCAGCCTCTGCCTAGGCAAATACCCCAGTCTGGGACCCAGGTTCTGTTCAGAGACCAGAATCACCTTGGTTTCAGCTGTGTCAAGCTTCTTGGGTTGCGCCCCAGCCCCAGGCCCTGCCCTGAGTGATACCCATGGGCTCGATGACACTATTACCTGATGAGGATGGCCAGGTGGTCCCCTAGATGTCAGTCTCTCCATGCCAACTCTTTCAGCTCTGCTCCAGGCCCAGCTCCGGCTAAGATGCCAGCTCCCTGGCTGGCTGGCAACGACTATTCCAATGGTATGGGACTGACTGGGAATGTGCCAGCCTCTGAGGAGCCATGATCCTATAAACAGGTTGGAGCTCCACCCTCAGGTCACTCCCTTAGCCCAGAACATTCCCTCTTCCCTAAGAGGCTGAGTCAACCAGCATCTCTAGAAACCTCTGGCGGGGCTCCAAAACCGGCAGGTGGAGCACCACTTCCAGATGTGGGGTGTCAGGACTGCAGATGCAGCAAGGAGGGGAGACAAGTCTCAGAAGCAGTGGCAGGAAGCTGCTCCCCTGAAGCAGTGGGTCTAAGAGCAAGGTGGGGACAGAGCTGAGGAAACCCCTGCAGCCCAGCCCCAGCCTGAGTCAGGCCAGCTTCTGGGGGAACAGGGCTGCACCTCCAGGGACAGACAAGAGGCCAAGCCTTCTTGACAGCTCCATGCAGCCAGGAGCCTGCGTGGAGAGCGGACTATAAGCTGACAAGGTCCTTACAGTCTGTGAGGGCAGCCAAGGGTTACTTTGCCTCCTCAAACTCCTTCTGAGGAAAAAAAAAAAAAAGTACAAATGTAGCCACAGGCAGGCAAATGAGCTGAAGGTCGTGATAAGATATGGCTTGGGAAAAGTAGAAGAAACAGTGTTGTTATGCCTAAGGGAAATTGCTTATGCCAACTAGTATGTTCTTGTCTAAAAGCAGCTTGCAAAAATAAAACTGCGCCACTGCTCCACCTTCAGTGGACTGCGGACCTCCTGATCCCAGCTTTCTGTCTTCTTTCTTTCCTACATCTCCCACTGTTCCCACTCAGGTATATTTTCCAGAGCCGTTCAGGATGTGGCAGGATTTACCATTTGCTGGACACGACGGGTGGCGCCCAAACAGGGGATCTAAGTATGGGGATACATGTAACTAAGGTAAGGTGAGGCGACTCCCTCAGGAAAAGCATACGCAAAAAGTAATAAGGAGGAGGGAGAAAATATAGTCAAGAGTAAAATATGGGACAGCAAGGGTCAAAAGACTGGCATATTTTTGTACAAATGCTTAAATGCTTAGGACTAGGGGATGTCGTGTGCGCGCTCACCAGATTCAGCAATTTTTACATTTTGTGCAAGAAACTTGTCCTTGGTTCCCAGAGGAGGGAACTGTAAATAGTCAGACCTGGGAAAAGATTGGGAAGCAACTCCGAGGGCGCTGTACCTCTAAAGGGCCTGATAAGATCCCCATTTTTACATTCTCCGTATGGGCTTTAATAAGAGATTATCTTAATTCTACCTGGGAAGATCAGAGACTCCTGGGAGGAGACAGTAATGAGTTGGTTGCTGCACTGCGAAGGACTTTGGAGGGGTATGAGGACCTTCATGCTCCTCCACCTCCTTCTGCCACCATTGCCTTCTGAGTATAAACAAGAGACAGAGAGGGAGGCTCGCAGAGATCAGCAGGCTAGGGGAGGAGAGGACACTCAGGAATGTGCTTTAATCAGTTGAGTTGTCACCCCCAGGGAAGTTACAAATGCTGATGATGGGATATGAGTATGTGCATGACCTCTGATCTATGTCTGTGTTATATGTAATATGGTGGTTCAATTAAGAATTCTAATTATGATAGAAAGGAAAATTTATGTTTTTGGTAACAGAAGGTTGAAAGTATAGAGATTTATTCTGAAAGAAATTAAAGGAAAGGTATTTGTCTTAAAGTTAGTTATTTCTAAATAGGTGAGAAGAGGCAAACTGAAAAAATAAGGAAAGTAGTAGAAGATCTGTGAAGAGAAATCCTGAGAGGAAATTTTACGTAAGTGAGCTAAACAAGATTGGAAATTTAAATGCCAAAAGTAAAGTAATACAAAATTAAAGTTGTGTTTTAATGTTCCCATTCAGGTATATTTTCCAGAGCTGTGCTGGACATGGCAGGATTTACCACTTGCTGGACGCAGCAAGCCTGTGTGTATAACACGGGCAGTCATGGTGGAGACCCTGAGCAGACTTTGGAGAGCTGCATGGAGCTCTGGACTCTGGTTCTAGATCCATCAACCTCAATCTTACCCTCACCCCTTCCATTTGGCTGGTCCTAGGAGTTTGGAGGACTTCCATTAGACTCGAATGGCAAACTTTGTAATAATATAAAGAGACCAATCAGGAAACTCTTAGATAACGACTATTGCAGAAAAAGAAAACTTGGTCAAATCACCTGTGTAAACTATTTAATGTACACAATAACAGTAAATGTTCTGAAATGACATGAATTCAGTATTACTGTCAACTACTATGTAATTGAACAATAATGATTTGTTTTTCAAGGCAAATAAAACTGAATTAATGTTAAATTATTATAGATGGGTCTAAATGTATTATTACAGAATCAGCCAAAAAAGAAAATTAATAGTGGTCTATGAACAAGTGAAAAATAATTGAATGGAAAATATTTCTAATTTGCATGAACCAGATATAAAATCTAACGAAAAAATAAATGTAACTGTAAAAAACTACATAGAACAACTTCTTCCAAAATGGGTCATAGATGAAGCAATACACAGTCTCCAGTTAGTGAGAGGCAGAGCCAGGGATTATGCTCTCTGCCCTGGAAGCCTGTGCCCCCTTCCCAGACTGGGTTCAGCCTAGCCTAGAGCCTACCCACTATGGAGTCTTTGGCGGCCTCCATAATCTGGGCCAGTCCCAGAGCCAACCCAGGACCACAAGAGTCCTGAGAAAATACATCCCCTTAGAGAGTGATTTCACAATTCCTTTGAACTGATGTGGGCCTCATCTGGAAACACCTCGGGTGGGGGGGAGAGAGGAAAAGCTGCAGCATCATCCTCCATGAGGTGAAACCCAATGCCAGCCTTCCACACCAGTATGGGTGGGTCAGGCAGCCCCATGCCCTAGAGGTCCCAGGGCTCCGCTGGTTGAATTAGGAGAGCATCTTGGTGCTCAGTTTCCCCATCTGTGCAGTAATGGTGTGGTAGATGCTGAGCCTGGTGAACACTGTGAAATTCCTGACTCAGAGAGTCTTAATTTGGGGCTAGGGCCTATGGATGGGATTTAAGGTACTCCCATCAGTTCCTGAAATTATAATCAAAATTAGGTGGGCATGTATGCATGTGAATGCTTCTGGAAAAGGGTCTAGAACAGCACTGTCCAATGGAAATGTCATGTGAGCCACATATGTCATACTAAATTTTCTAGTAGCTACATTTTGAAAGCAAAAAGATACAGGTGAAGTATTTTAATAGTGTATTTTATTTAATGCACTAAACCAAAGTATTATCAATTCAACATGTAATCAATATATAAAATTACTAAAATGTTTCACTTTTTTTCACACTAAGTCTTCAAAAATCACTGTGTGTTTTACACTTGCGCCATATCTTAATTCAAATTAGCTACATTTCAAGTGTAATGTAGTAGCCACATGTGGCTAGTGGCTACCTTATTAGAGAGTGGAGGTCTGTAAGAGGGCCAGCCACAGAGTTTTGCATGGCCGAGGGTAAATAGGACCCTCCAACAGCAGTTTCAAGACTTACAGTGCCAAAACTTAGGATTTTACTTGGTTGAAACCCAAGATAGAAAGGGGGAGGGGCCAGGAGTGGGGAAGCAAAGTTGCTGGCTCCAGTTTTGCCTTAGCAGCAAAGCTGTGATTAGGGATTTGGGACAGGAGAGGTAGGCCAAGAGGGACACAGATCAGGGCCAGTAGGTAGAAGAGAAGCAGAGGAAATCTGGAGGCAAAAGTAAGCTATTTTAACTACGACTGGTTAAGACCATTGTCTTCCCATTCCGTTAGTGTTGATGTGACTGTGGCTATTTTTAGAATCTGACTAAGAAGTTCAGTTAGTGCTGCATTTAATTTCTGTTTAGTGGGACATAGTTACATTTTGTGGTCAGTCTCATATATAATGAAGTTACTGTTAGCTATTCTGGTGTAGGGGTAGTTTTTAAAAATATCCCTACCACCCACTGTGACAACTCATCTGGCATTGTGACGCAGAGATACACAGGGCCAGAAGTTGTACTACATGAGAAGAATAGATCAGAGGAAGAAAAACAAGGTCAAAAATATACAGAGGAGGAAACGAGTCTGTGGAAAATTCGTCCAATCAGACATAAAATCCTAAGTGGAAGATTTAGTTTCAATTGCCACCTGATCAAAACAGAAGTTCTTTCCCGAAAGAGATGTTTTTGATCATGTCTTGAATGCCTTTTTCCCTTTATATGATGGGAATCAAGAAATAGAAGTTGTCATATTCCTATACGATAAGTAGCACATCTATAATAGCTCAGATATAAGAGAAATTGTGGTGGATTTTATTTTTCTAAAGATGTTTGTAACAATATCTCTTGTCCTTCATGTTCTTCTGGAACATCACCACTCCTTCATTAAGAGGTGGAGGCAAATTCCCCTCCTCTTGAATCTGGTGGACTGGAGATTCTCTCAGACTAATAGGATGTGAGGAACTTGACACCACTTGACTTTGAGATTAGGTCATAAAAGGCCATGCAATTTCTCCCGTTGAGAGCCACCGCATGGGATGTCCAAGTCCCCTGAGGTCCCTGTGATGCGCAGAAGCCCACCCAGATGGAGGGACCATAAGTTGGTGCCAGAGTCAGCAATGCTCTTCTCCAAATCCTCCCAGCCTAGGTCCTAGCATGAGGATGAACGAGCCTCCGAATGATTCCAGTCTAGCTGTGGAGCCACCTCCAGCCTGTGCCCTTTCTGAATTTCTGACTCACAGAATATACGATTCTCATAAAATGGTTGCTGTGTTATGCCATTAAGTTTGGGTGATCTGCTACATAGTCATAGTAACTAAATCAGAGATTTTCCCAGATTTGCTAACAATCCTGAAGTATAAGGTTTTAGAGCATTGCCAATGAAGAGTTGTGAAGCAGAAACTATCAATAATTAACTATTATTAACTATCAATAATTTTTTAAAAATTTCAATCCACCAGGCTAGAGAGAAAAT